ATATTCAAAATCGATTTAGGTAATACAAATTCTTGTGTTGGAGTATAGAGGAAGACCCTTTGATATTCCAAATGAGAATGTTTATATAAAAACAACATCATTTTCAATCATTATGATCAAATAACGCTTTATTGGACTATCAGAAATAAGAGTTATTATTGTAATTAGAAACTTCTTTTGTAGATATACACTTAAGTTAAATAATAAAATTGTTGATCATTTTCTTTAGGCCATTAAAGTAAAACATAATAAAGATTTACCTTAAGATAAGAGAGTAATTGAAATTTTGAAAAATGAAGCTGAAATATCAAAAAATTCACTTCTGAGTATTCATGAAATAATAATTGAAATCAATTATTTATTTAATGAATAAAATTTCAAGAAATACTAACAAGAACTAAATTTGTAGAAATTAATTTAAATTAGATCAACAAATTATTAGAAATATTAAAATTCCATTCTATGACAGAAAATAATTAAATTCTAATGGTTGGTGGTTTTTTGTAGGTTTAAAAATTAAAGAAGTTATGTAAGACTGTTTTTAGGGAAGGAAATTGACAAAATAATTATTATAATTCAAATGAATCATCATTTTAATTCAATAAAATTAATTATGAATAATCAAATAATTATATTAATAATTAGGGCAGCATTTTTAAATGAAAAAATCCTTAAATTGTTATAATACTTTGATACCATATATTTTTGAAGAAGATCACCTGCAAAACAAACCTGGATGGTAAATCTACTTTAAACTATTCTCTTCCTAATTTAAATCTAAAGTATTTTATTTAAATCTGAAAAAACCCCAAAATACACATTAGGTAGTTGGTCTAAAAATTAAGATTTCAATCAGCATAAGACTCACAATCCTTACAATAATAAAAATTAAATTAAATCTAATTCGTTTTTGAAATATTATGAAAAAATTTTGAAGCCTTGAAACACAATTAATTTATTATTATAGTAGAATAGTTTTTGATAAAAGTATTAATATATTCTCAGTGATTGTTTTATTGGTGAAAATCGTTTATTGTATTTCTGTAAATTCTATTAAAATTAAAGATTATAGTGTAATTAATCTATAGGGATTAAATTTTGATCTCTTTTGGATTAAGCTAGCTAGTTTATAAAATTATTTATAATTGTTACTCTAGTTATATTACTTTGAAATCATCAAAATAATAAGAAAATTTTTTAGGAATTATAAAAAATTAGAAATAAGAATATTTTTTTTTAAATATTTTATTTCAATTTTAAGTCTTGTTTTAATTTACATATCAAATTTTTTCATTTATATGGTCTTTAGGAAGGTGAAGGCTTATGAGGCCAAGAATGATAAACTGCAAAATTCTGTTCCACATTTGATCCTGTGTATCTCTATATTCATTGATATTGATAAGTGTAGAATGAACAAGGTCGTCGTGTAGCAAATAGTTATGGCACCAAAAATAAATTTAAGTTTCTAAATTGAAATAAAAAGTAGAAAAGAATATAAATACTTAATTTAGATTCTCAAATATTAACAAATACCTTTATTTTATTTTATTATCTTTTTATCAAATTCACAAAAATGTTTTAAATATGTAGTCATTCTAAAGTCCAAGAATTAAAAAGAGACCCAATTCAAAGAAATTGGTTTTTAAAAGAAGGTTCTTGAGCCCAAGATAGGGGAATGAGTCATGATCAGGTAAGGAAGACTTGTCCACCCTTTTTTAGCTTATAGCTGACCATAAGTTGATCAACGATGTAGAATTCAGAGTG